TGAAGTGTTTTTTTTTTTCTAATTACTTCAGAAAATAGAGAAAGTAACAGGCTGACTGCTACTCAAGGAGCTCCCAAGAATCCAACAAAAGTAAGGGAGCAAGACCATTAATGTGAAGGATCTTCTTGGATACCTGCAGGGAACCTGTATTATGAAGAAAGAAGAGATTACCCATGTCTTAGTGGATTCAACAAGCACAGAGGCTGCCAATGAACAACACTGAGTATCCTACTCACATGTAAACCCTCCAAAAAGAGGTGCAAGCTTTCACAAAAATGAAAGAAACCCCAGAGAGCTGAAGTTTAGATTTCACCACTACGGCAAATCTGAACTTAAAATAGAAATTAAATTTGAACTATAGAAAATTTCCTTATGGGGCACGAGATAACTGACCTCATTATGACATGATTCCTTTTTACATGATTCAGAGGGTGCAATAAATTACAACCATCTATTGGTTTAAGCGAGGCATTCTCAATTGCTATAAAAGTTTATAAATGCTTATTCTTACTTTCTTTTGCTTTGATTACTTAAAACTCTAGCTCCCACATTAATCATAGATGAAATAGATTTTTGTTAAATACAAGTGGGCGATTAATGTCTGGGAAATATATATTGACCTTAACTGCAAATCATAGCAATACGGTGTACTTTGGAGGAAGGATGCTGATTATTGGTAACAAATAATATATTTAGAAAAATGAAACTTATAAAATGAAATGATAGCAATAACTATATACTTACTGCTTATATACTAGCCCTCACTTGGAGAATTTTGTATATATTGACTCTTTTAATGTTAACAAACTCTGCTTCAATAGATTTCAAGAGAAAATGAGGCTTGTAGAAATTAAGTTACACAACGTAAATACTTAATTCACATTTTTAGAATTCTAAGAAAAATTATAAAGTGAGATTTGAAGCAGCTTCAACCCATGTACTAAAATTATGCTAATTTAAATTAATTATTAGTGTTGTACAACTCCAAAGCATTCAAATCCCATATGTAACTGTTGTCATGTATTTGGCACATATTAAATGCTGTATATGCTGACTTCTATATTAGAAAAAATTCAAAACATGTTCTTCAAATATATAGCACTACACATACTACTAACACAAATGTAATTTTCAAGATTTGAAATCCTGAAAACATAATATTTTTCCTTTTGATATCCTGAAATTTCATAAGAGTGGTCAAAGAGTTTCTGGTGAAGTCTACACCAATGCCTCTCAAAATATCTGGAATGTTGTTCTATTTAAAATGTTTCCAATTAATTGTGAACAGTAAACAAAATTGTTTTATTGGAATTTAAGCATATGCTGGACATGGAAAACCACATCAAGTTCATTACTATTTTTAATGAAACCAGTGATCAGATGACTATAATAGAAATTAATAGTCATATGACAATAGTCCAATGAGCTCACCATTCAACCCTAGGGAAATGCAAAGTCCCAGCAGAAAGCATTACTAACTTAGGAAAAATTAAACTCCGAGACAATGAAACAAAAAGGTCCAAGGCAACAATTATTTTTTAAAGAAGGACATTTAAGCTGTTTCTAGATTTTTGAGATTAGAATCTCATGAAAGTAGATTATGCAAAAGAGAAACTATTTTTATTTATTCATTTAATAAACACTAAATGCCTTTGTGAACACATGTTGTCTTAAACATCACAAAACTGTCAAATGAAGAATACAGTCACAGGATTATAGGGTAAAACGAACAACTGTTATACAAAAAGTCAGCCGTGTGTGAATTGTGGTGCTACTCACTATTCTGCATTGTCCCTGAAATTAAAAATTTGATCCCATGATGTTAAATACCTTCCCTTCTTAGTGTTACACAGCATTCAGTAGTGATGCTAGTTAAACTAGCCATTTTCTTTTGTTAGTCTTAGAAGAAAAATAACTATGAAAGATGGGCATGTACTATAATTTGTTCTCCAGTAACTGCACTCAAATAGGCCATTTATTTGCAGTCACATGGTGAATATAAATGAATCATTTGTATTTCTCATTCTTTTCTTCACTTGGAATATTTCCTTTAATAAAAATATCCTCAATTTTCATTTCCATGAAGAGAAGCAAGTGTAATTGTAGATAACTTTAAAACATGTTCTCAATGTGTTAACTAATTTTTGGAACATCCTTTTTCAGAAAGCCTTATTAATATCTCCATTTTATCAGGGAAGAAAAACTATAGATTGGTAAGAATGAGGAACTTACTTACCAGCAAATCATTTGAGATTAGAATTAAGTTTGTCTGATTTCTGAGTCCATAGACCTCATCCCAACATTATTCTATCTCAGTGACAGATGAATTGAGATCTGAGTTCTTCTAATCATTTTATTGCCAGCTGGCTTGACAAGACCTTCAGGCAGCTACTGCCACATGTCCGCATTACCATGACCTTCACAATGGAAGGCAATCACTTAGAAAAGGAATTAGTGCATGCTAATGACAACACCTCAGGAAAGATATAATTGCTTCCTGATTACATGAAGTTTACAGTCTGCTAACACTCAGATGCCGTAATTATTCATCTAGCTACGTATGGGCTTCTAGGAATTATTTATCTGTGGAAGAAACGAACAAGACATTTACAAGGTGATCATTTGCGGGGTTTGAAAGAGAAGTGCAAATAGAGGCTTCGAAGAGTGATGAGGGGCAATGAGAACCGGGCAAATGAAGCATAGTGAGTAAATGGAATGTACTGGGAGGTGGAGTTGGAGAGGAAAAGCGTCAGACTGAATAACTGGGGCTGCAAGACAATGAGTAGAGAACAGAACTCAGTTTTCTACCTCTCAGTTCAGATGTAGCAGCCAGTCTGCCCTGTGAATGGGAAGGGAAGGCCTCCTGTTCGTGGGTTGTTCCATTACCTAATCCATGGGTCAAAGATCAAAACCCTTGCTGTTTACTAGGAAAAAAGAAAAAAAACCCAAAAACGATCTATAAGTTGCAAGAGTTTTTATATTTTTCTTCTCAAATTAGTTTTTCTACTTCTAGCTTTACCAGAGGCCAAGTACAGGATCCAATCAAACATAAAACACAAAGTTTATCTTAAAATATACACGTTATACACCATGAATTTCCTTTATAGCTTTATACATTAGATAATGATACAATTGTCTTAAAATTAGTTCTATGTTTCTTAAAATTTACTTCCATTTGTTTTACATACATTCACATTCTAATTGTTTTTTTTCTCTCCTATTTCTACATTAACTGTCTTCCTCTTTCTATATCCTTGCATTAAAAAAAATATATACTCAATTTCAGCATTACCTGAGCAGACTAACAGCAACAGCTATCTACTAATGGACCGATGATCAAATGCCAGAGAGATAATTTAAATTTATTGCCTTATGCTGTTTATTTATCCGGTGTTATGAATAGCCACTACAGAAATCCAGGAGGGAAAAACATACTTCAAAGTGCCAAAAGTTGGTAATATGAAAATTTGCTTTAATACTTCCTTCCATTCATCTGCTCTTCTGTTTCTCTGCAGGAGGAACATACATCACCAGGAAGATTCTAAAAAACACATCCCAGTGTATATTATTCCTGAAGCTAATTACCTGAAATTCACTTTATTCACTTTCAGTGAAACTGGAAATAATCATACCAATTCAATGCTATTCAAAAAATATTCTTAAAATGTTTGGACAATATAGACATAGCCGATGTGTTCAAGAACTGAAACCAACACCACTTCTTTCACTGGCCATAATGCCTGCATATTCCAGTGACTATTTCTTAAATGCACTGAGACTCTAGTTTAAGGTCAGCGTAGATCTGATGGCTCATAAAACATTAATCGCACAAAGGTTAAGGACCAGTTGCTAATAACAAAGGTCTAATTCCATAGCCATATGGACTCTAGACAATTTTCCTAATGCAATAAATTCTCCTCACGGGGGAAAAAGTCAGCTGATAAACACATTTTATAGTACAATATTTTAAATGAAAGGGGACAACCTAATGTTACTCAGCTATCTGTATTAACATCAACACGCAGTTTTGTGAAATTGCAATGGTATAAATTGTGAATGAATTTAAATCAGTCAGTCTTACAGTTAAAGTTGTCCAGTCAGGACTCTTTTTGGAGGGGCAGGGAGGATATTCATGTTACTATGCCTGACTCTTCTTATACTAGATTACAATGCAGATGTCCCCATCTGTGAATGGGCTCCTCTGATGTGACTTTAACCATTTCACTCTTCGTCTGTAGTATTCAAAGGGATGAAAATTTCATATTTGCTTAAGAATAGCTAGCTATATTCTCTGCACATTAAAAATTGAAATTCGCCTTCGTTCTACAATACACAGTCTGCAATAGTAACGTGTTCTCACTGATTTTGGTATTAACTCAGAGCACTATAGCAAGGACTCAAGACCTCTAGGGGATACAGTCAGATGCATCCTGAGCATTACAAATCCCCTTGGTGTCTGAAGATGTGCTACATTTGTAAATTGAACTAGATGTCACACAAAGGCAACCCATCCCCCTTGGGATAAGACTTGGGCTGATCCTTGGAAAGCAGGCAACACAGTGTCTCCTTGTTTGTAAAATAAAATCTTTGGTAGGGCGTCTTTCTCGCCCATCTACTACACTACACAGGAAAGAAGACACTTTACAGTCCCTGTTAAAAGTCCTTTTAAAAGTCTTTAAGAAAAACCAGTCTGATAATTAAGTACCAATGCTTCAGGTAGGAAAGAAACATGAAATTCTTTCTTGCCTTCAAACCTTCCTTCCTCTCCCCTGGTAAGCAGCAGAAAATGATTCTGGCAAAATGGGGAGCAGCGTGATCTTTCAAAAGACCCCAAATCCAAGGAACATGGATTCCCAAAAAGTGCAAGGAGAGCCCGGGGAGTTCCAGGAGTTGGAGGAAGTTACTGCTAATAGCGCGTTTTCTGAGTTTGCCTGGGAAGGTGGGTGTGGCAGATGGAGGGAGAGGTTCCCAACCACAGACCACACTTCGCCGCTACTCACCCTTCTCCTGACTCCTCAGAGTAGCCGTCCCAGGCCCACTCCTCGCCGATGTCCGGCAAGGTGAAGAACAGGGTCTTGGGGCCGGGCCCAGGAGTCTTCCAAACGCCGGACTCTCGCTCTCCGGGGCCAGGCCGACCAGGCTGCCTTGGGCTCTCGGGGCGCAGTCTCGCCAGGGCCACCAGCTGGGCCGGGGACCCAGGAGCGCTGGGAGGAGGCAGAGGTTGGGGTGCCAGCGGGATGTTGGCTGTTCTGGGGCTACCGGGCAAGAGGAAGGGAGACCCTACTGCTTCTGCCGCTCGGCTGGCGACCGAGACCCGGGCAGAGGAGGCGGCGAGCAGAGGGTGCAGAGAGGTGGGTGTCCCCCGCAAGGCCGAGGAGGAGTCGGGAGCCAGCGCTGGGAGGAGGGTCGAGGTCAGGGTCGGGTTCGGGGTCTGCACGGCGCCCACAGAACCTGAGCCTCCCACGTGGCCGGAGGCGACAGGTGAGGGGACCGCGGGGGACCCTGTAGAGGTCTTGAAAATTTTGGCAAAGAGAGACCCGAGGTCCAACACAGCAACCTTCATGCCGTGACCTTGGAAATGCTGTTCTTGCTGCTGCTGGAATCTCAGAAACTCTGGGATTCCGGCTGCAGGGCTCCATCCACCACTGCCCACTCACGGGTATCCAGACCTGGCTGCAGGGGCCTTGGCGACAGCGAGGATGCTGGGGTCTCGGCACCCAGCGAAGTCCCGAAGTCTCGTTCTCCTCTCAGCCGGGTGAACAACTTTGAGAGCTCAGCTCCGCACGATTGGGACAGACCTTTTCCGACGGCCTGATCCTACGGAGGGACCGGGGGCAGCGATCCCTTCTCAGCCTTGGTGTGGTGAGAACAACAGGTCGGAGGGTCCGGGGTGGGGGTGCCTAGCTAGGGCACTTCTACCGCGGCCCGCGCCACACGGGTTTAGAGTGCAGATTGCTGTGGCCTCAGCCCCTGGTGACGCCAAGGGGCCCCTGGGACCGAGCGGGCGGTTGCTAAGCTAAACAAAAACACTGCTAAGCTCACTGCTAATTGGGCCCCAGACCATAGCTCTGGGCCGAGTCTACAATAGAAACTCTGGCTCCCCTCCTTGATTTCTGCCTTAAAGGAACAGTCTCGGATTTCTCCATCCCTCCTAGAGCTTCCCCAGATTCCCCAGCTCAGAGCTGAGAACAAGAAGTTGAAGATAACCCCGGAAACGTAATCTTGCTCCCCAAGGGTTCTGGAATTCATTGTGTCTGACAGAGCCGGAGGTGGTAAGATCAGGGCCCGTTCTCAGGTATGAGGTACAGTGAGTAAAAAGATGCACTCAGGGACAAATATTTCAAAGAGCAGGAGCGACTGGCCCAGCACCAGGGTCCTGTCCAAAGTGTGTCAGTAAAAATGATGTGTGGGAACAGCAGAAGATGCTTCACCCAAGGACTTGGAAACAGAATTGGGCTTCAGAGGTGAAACTGGAAGATCCACATACAATGACCAGGAGAATATGTAACTAAAATGTCTACGAACCACACCAGTCAAAATGACTATTTACAAGTCACAAACAGAGTTATATAGGAAAGGTAAGACTTCTTCAGTGGAATGAATTGCATTTTGATTAATGTAAAGAAAACATTGTGGAGATTCCTAAAAAAAAAAAAAAAACTAACAATTGAAATTGCATTTTACCCAGATATCCCCTATCTAGATATCTTCCCAAAAGTGAAAATCATCACATTTCAGGAATACATGCACTCTCGGATTTACAGTAGCACAGTTTATAATAAGTAGGTATTGGAAACAACATAAATGTCCATAAACAGATGAATGGATAAGAAAACTGGTATTTACACAGAATAGAATACAACATTGCCATACAGATAAACATGTTATTCACATTTTTGAAACAATAGAATATGTAATTTGTGGAAGTATTTGAACTTCTCCCTGCTTCCTATTTCTCTTCTCTTGTGCTCTCGGTATAATATATATGACGTTTCTCCTATGAGAGAAACCATGGGCTCTTTGAGTTTGTGTGTCTGATTTTTGTCACATAATATTATATTCTCAAATTCCATCCTTTTATATATTCATACATGCATGTTTGCTATGGGTTGAATTGTATCCTCCAAAAAAGACATGTTGCAGTTCTAACTGCCCATTGCTGTGAATGTGAATTTATTTGGATATAACATCTTTAGAGATATACAGTAGTCTTCCCTTATTCATGGGGGACACATTAAAAAATGCTAGTGAATGCTTGAAAGATTAGAGAGTACCAAATCCTATATTTATACACCTATGTATGTTTATACATATACACTTATGATAATGTTTTAATATGTAACAGATACAGGAAGATATTACCAACAATAACTAATAATAAAATAGAACAACTATAATAATATGCTGTAATAAATGCTATGTGAATGATTGCTCATGTCTCTCTCTATATATAAAAATATCTTAATTCCTCATTGTGTGATAACATGTTTAGATTGCAGTCTACCTAACATAACTGGAATCTTGAAATGTGAAAACATGGATGAGAGAGACTAATGCAAACCAATTAAGCTGAGGTCATGAGGCTGGGTCCTAATCCAGTGTGACTGGTGAACTCTAAAGCAGAGGGGAATTTGAACACAGGCACACATGTCATGACACAGGCAGAGAGTCAAGTGACACAGAACTGCAAGCCAAGGAACTCCAAGGACTGATATCCACAATTAAACACTAGGACGAGGCCACGAGGAATCCTATCTTATGGGTTTCAGAGAACGTAGAACCGCAGACACTGAGTGCAGGACTTCGTGTTCCAGAATAAAGTTCTGCAGCTTGAAGTCCACAGTCTGTGGCAAATTGTTACGATAGCCACAGGAAAGAACAGACTATGGTTATTAATTTGGCAGATGCAGCATGGTCATCAAAGCGCCTTGCTGGTACTCCTAATCCAATGAAGGTCTTACTGCATGTATTTGTTCTAAAACAAACTGGCCATAAATTAAAATGATACTCCTACTTGTTTCAAATCTATAGAAAGAATCACAGAAATCATACAAAGGAAGGGGGGGCGTTTTCAGTTAAGGTTGTTAACGTAGCTTTCTGAGCAGCCAGTCTTATGAAAAAGAGACAATGAATGAATGATGTATCCTTTTGTTTGAAGGTGCTCCCTTTGAAAAGGACTTACAATTGCAAACATGATAAACAACTCTTAGCAAGATCTAGGTCTTTCATACCTATTGTTCATCTATCAACAGTCTTTCAGACAGATGCTAGATGGCTATTAGGCTTCTCTGTTAATTACCAGCAGCCGGTCTCATGACATGAGCCTTAGGTGATGGGACCACAGTGGTGTGGCTAATCCATTATTTCAAAAATAATGAGATGAAAGTAAATACAGTAAGTGATTTTATCTACTTGTGCTAGTACTGATTTTATGTTAAAATAGTGTTCTCTATGATAAAATTCTGCTTAAGTTCATTAGGAATTTGATTATTTTTCTTGTGTACATAATAATGTCCAGCTATATGACTGAAAAATTATTAGAAAGTTATAACAAAGTTATGATCATATAGATCCCGAGAAGAAACCCAAAGTTAAAACAAACAGAATGGTTAATCCATTTATGAAGTTAAATTGCCTTCATTAACATGTCACCAAGGAAAGAGACTATAAAGAGAACACTGTCAGGCTGGAGATTTAGCTCAGTGGTTCCACCACCTGCCTCAGAAATGCAAAGTCCCGAGTTTGATCCCGGTAACAACAACAACAAAAACACAACTGTTGATTCAACAAATATTTACTAAGCACCTCGAGAAGTATTATAGTATGGGATTCCATGAGCTTGGACTATTCTGTCCCTGCCTCTTAGCAACCCCAAGGCTTCTGTTTGTTTCTTGTGCCTTCAGTTATAATTCAGGGACAATTACAATAGTCCCTTGTGAGAGTTGCATTACTTGATACATGAGAGGTCATGGAACAGAGCCTAGCAATAGTAAGCTCTCAGGATGAGTTAGCTTTTATCATATGTGACAGCAGGTTACACTAAGTGACTAGAGAAAAAGATCTGGAAGGAAATGACAGCTGTGTTTGCTTCTAAGTGTATTTATTTTTATATTAGATGAATGTCTAAAAAAAATGTCTTAGGACTTTTTTGCACAATAAAGGAAAGCACAACAAATAGAGTCTTCCATAAAACCTTGGGCACATTTTCTTGATATTTGTTTAAGGGCTCCGGATCCTACTGAGTGACACATATTAAAATAGTAACAAGAGGAACAATTTTAAACTTAACCAAACGCAGCATTAAGGATCTGGGATTTAGCTCAGTGGTGCCATCACCTGCCGCAAAAGCACAAGGTCATGAGTTTGACCCGTGGCACCAAAAAAGAAAACAAAAGGCAGCATTAGATCTTGACATTACGAATAGACCATGACTGTACCCACTGAGTCTCATAGTAGATGGAGCGTAGTGGGAGGGGCAAGACAAAGGGGCAGGAGAGATACTTTCAGCTGTATCAAAGATGAGCTTGAATAGGCCAGGTGCTTACGTCACTTACAGAGCGAGAAGCTCATAACTGATTTGTTTTCTGGGATTGGTAAAGGGAATTATCAATGTCAACAGAGACTCAAGATCTTTCTTTTGTTTTCATGCATTATTATGGCATTGTGGCACCTACTATTTTCTCCTAAATAACTGTGTTAAAGGCAAGAAGGCTCAGTGTACTCTATCTTCTTTTCACTGAGGAACCAGATATTTTCTAGAAGCTTCTCAAGTGAACTTACATTTGAGCCTCATTGGCCAGAGATCAATCAAGAGTCCATCTATAAACTAAGCATCAGTGAAGACAAATAGTGCTACAATCACGCTGCATCCCCTCGTGTTGGAGAGGGGCTCCTCTACCCGTGATCTTGTCACCACCTGAACAAAACAGATGTTCATAAACCAAGAAACAGGATGAGATGGAGGCATCTGTTGGATAGATAATTAGGACTGTCTGTTATAATAGAGAGCTAAAATAGTCTAACTATACATTGCTATCAAATTAAAAGGGCAATTACCAATTTACAATTCTCATTAAGCTTTACTAACGTAACTCAGACACTGAGAGTTCTCCACCATTTCAAAAGTTATCATTAAAAGAGTGATATATACCTTCTCATACTCAACCATCATATTTCTGAATGATACTTCCCATGTTGTATCATATAGAAATGTGATAATAGGCTCATACAGCTAAAGAATAACAGCTATATACATACATACAGTATTAGGATTCCACCCATTTGTGTTTTTCTGCCAAGTATGTAAATTAGTTACCATTTCATTACCATAGTAATATATCTGAGATGGGCTACTTTCAGATTTACTTTGGTCACATTTTGGAGGCCAAAAGTTCAAATTCCTTGGATCCCTGGTAGATTCTAGATGGTGGAGATGTGTAGAAAAAGGATCAGTTCAAAGTCTGGAAGCAAAGACTGTAAGTTTCTTTTAGAACTACCCTCTTTGGAGAACTAACAAGGGATCACATGAGAACTACCTTAACTACTCTTCAGGCATGTACCCAAAGACCCAAGGAACTTCCACTAGGCTCCCCCTCTTAGTTCCACATCTCCTGATGAGACAGAGAACTTTTGCAAATAATCTAAAAACCTACAAAATGTTAGGAAAATGTAAAGTGACTTCTGCTGTCTCTAACAGCAGTCTGCTTTGTTTAGTTCAAAATTAAAAGACACCGGAGGCACTGACCATAAAGTGGGACATCTGCCCTCATCCCTAACCTTGAGCATCCGCTTCCTGTGCACTAGAATAGATAGCTAGATGAATCTAAAGGTAAATTCCCTAACTACAAGGAAATGTTACATCTGGGTTAAAGTGAACTGTCTGGTTACTGTAATTTGTACATGGGTAATGTGAACTGAGGAAATGAAATGTAACCACCTAAATGAGATGCTAGCTGTAAAACCTATAAAAGAGGAAGCTAC